GCGGACAGCGCACGAGGTCGCGCGTGCAGCACTGACGCCTTGATTAGCCTTTTTGCTTCGTATATTTCTTTTCCGAGCACAAATATATGGAATCAAGTCGCCCTCTTCTTCACCCACGCACGGAGCAGATGCCGTGAGGTGACTTATGTCGTCGCGAGACCTGTAAAACGCGAGGACGCTAGATAAAACGCCCAAGGCCAGGATAAAAGGTGATCACTAAGCCAGGATCTCAAGTAAAAAAATTGGCTGGAAGTTGGTGAGGGTAGCTCGCCTGTGATTGGTTAACGAGGTGGTTAGTTTGACGAGGGGTGAAGCGAGGGGTGCGAACTAAAGTCAAATCGCAAGTTTGAATCCGAACCAGGGAGGCACGGAATCTGGTTCGGTGACGAAGCTCCAACACCAGCAAATTCTCGCCACCCCCGAAAAATCTCATGTATCAGAAATGTGTTTTGCAATTGACGCAGGGGCAAAAAACGCGGGTGTGTCGCACACTCAACCTCCTAACCAGCCAGTCAGTTCGCCTACACAGATAGGGTAACGAGAGCTGCAAGTGTTTTGCAATTGACAGCAATTTCTCGTACTTGAGATCCTGGCTTCAAATGTAGAATCCAAATCTAGTTGGGCAACAAGAATCCTCTTCGCTCAAGGTCGCGAGATAACTGCTTCCGATTGCACAGGACCATACTTCACCGCTTTTACAAACCAGAATGTGAATTTTGTTTCGGTTTGTATTGGTAAAACGGAGAAACCGAGCTTAACCGAACTGTAAGGGCGGGGTCAGTACGTTCATCCATCAAATCGTTCAGTTTCTTCGTCGTGGCGCAAGACGATTTCACACGGTGCACAGCGGTTATCAAGACTCACCGTTTTGAACCGCAACGCAACACGAGTAACCGCACGGAATGAACTGAAATGAATGTGCTGACCACCACTTGTCATGTGTAAAATTCGGCTTCCTTCCCACCACACCACACTGCCAGATCCAGAAAGGACCCGCCTCGAAGTTAGTATGCATTCGCATGCACGCCAGGTCAACGCTCACTCCGCCCTCTGGACTAGCTCCTCACTGGATTCACCTCGAAGTTAGTACGCTATATCCACGCAAGCACGACACCTTCAATGGCTCGTGACGAGCAGCATCCCGCAATGCTGCCTCTCGAATCCACTTGTTTTCAGTTTCCGAAGCTCACTTTGCAAGCACGGAACAGATCTACGAACCGATCTACTCGCATACTATCGCCTCGCTATCCGTGGACACAAGCTACCTGTTTATCGTATTGCTACCCGAATAGTTCATCGGAACGACTTTCACGGTACGATTTAGTGCGTGCGTGCGTAAGTGCGCGCGTGCGTGCGTCAGTGCGTGCGTCAGTGCGTCAGTGCGTGCGTGTGTGCGTCAGTGCGTGCGTGCGTGCGTGCGTCAGTGCGTGCGTGCGTCAGTGCGTGCGTGCGTGCGTGCGTCAGTGCGTGCGTTCGTGCGTGCGTGCGTCAGTGCCTGGGTGCGTGCGTCAGTGCGTGGGTGCGTGCGTCAGTGCGTGCGTGTGTGCGTCAGTGCGTGTGTCAGTGCGTCAGTGCGTGCGTGCGTGCGTTAGTGCGTGCGTGCGTCAGTGCGTGCGTCAGTGTGTGCGTGCGTGCGTCATTGTGTGCGTGCGCTCGTCAGTGAGTGCATGCGTGCGTGCGTAGGTGCATACGTGCGTGCGTCAGTGCATGCGTGCGTGCGTGCGTGCGGCAGTGCGTGCGTGCGTGCGTCAGTGCGTGCGTGCGTGCGTGCGTCAGTACGTGCGTCAGTGCGTGCGTCAGTGAGTGAGTGCGTCAGTGCATGCGTGCGTGCGTCAGTGCATGCGCGCGTGCGTCAGTGCGTGCGTGCGTGCGTCAGTGCGTGCGTGCGTGCGTCATTGTGTGCGTGCGTGCGTCATTGTGTGCGTGCGTTCGTCAGTGAGTGCATGCGTGCGTGCGTAGGTGCATGCATGCATGCATGCGTGCGTGCGTGCGTGCGTGCGTCAGGGCATGCGTGCGTGTGTCAGTGCGTGCGTGCGTGCGTGCGTCAGTGCGTGCGTGCGTGCGTGCGTGCGTGCGTCAGTGCGTGCGTGCGTCAGTAGCGTGGGTGCGTGCGTCAGTGCGTGCGTGCGTGCGTCAGTGCGTGTGTAAGTGCGTGCGTGCATACGTGCGTCAGTGCGTGCGTGCATACGTGCGTCAGTGCGTGCGTTCATACGTGCGTCAGTGCGTGCGTGCGTGCGTTCGTCGGTGCGTGCGTGCGTCAGTGAGTGAATGCGTTCATGCGTCGGTGCATGCGTGCGTGTGTCAGTGCATGCGTGCGTACGCCAGTGCATGCGTCAGTGCGTCAGTGCATGCGTGCATGCGTGCGTGCGTCAGTGCGTGCGTGCGTGCGTCAGTGCGTGCGTGCGTGCGTCAGTGCGTGCGTGCGTCAGTGAGTGAATGCGTTCATGCGTTGGTGCATGCATGCGTGTGTCAGTGCATGCATGCGTACGTCAGTGCATGCGTCAGTGCGTCAGCGCATGCGTGCGTGCGTCAGTGCGTGCGTCAGTGAGTGAGTGCGTCAGTGCATGCGTGCGTGCGTCAGTGCATGCGCGCGTGCGTCAGTGCGTGCGTGCGTGCGTCAGTGCGTGCGTGCGTGCGTCAGTGCATGCGTGCGTGCGTCAGTGTGTGTGTGCGTGCGTCATTGTGTGCGTGCGTCATTGTGTGCGTGCGTTCGTCAGTGAGTGCATGCGTGCGTGCGTAGGTGCATGCATGCGTGCGTCAGTGCATGCGTGCGTGCGTGCGTCAGGGCATGCGTGCGTGTGTCAGTGCGTGCGTGCGTGCGTGAGTGCGTCAGTGCGTGGGTGCGTGCATCAGTTCGTGGGTGCGTGCGTGCGGACAGTGTTCACAGGCAGCAGAATACACATAGGCGGGGACTCTCACCCTGCCGGTTCTTTAACCTTAATTCTCCTTTTCCCATCACATCCCCTCACACCCCCCCCAACCACCACTGTAGACCTGCGGTCAGTGTTCACAGGCAGCAGAATACACATAGGAGGAGATTAAGTGAAGGAAGGTAGGCGACAGGTTGGGGAGAAGGGGAGGGAGGAAGTTGGTCAGGAAGATGAGAGGGAGATGGGAGGGGGAGGGAGAGGGGAGAGTGAACACAGGGAGGGGCGAGATATGCTGATATGCTGAAATGCCTCATCTGCCTGCTGAGAGGGGGACAAGGGAAGGTGAAGAGTCAACAATAATCAGCATATCTGCTCCCCAAAAAATTGATTCGAGTCTGTAAGCAACAGTACTCTAACCGCACTTATATCCGGTCTTTCTTCCCCTAACCTTTTCCACCCTGAACTCTTTTGACGCATCAGCATGAGATAGTCACTGCCTGGTCGTCCCTATTCGCCCATGCTCTCTTCCACTCTGCTCCCTGACCCTGTACTTGCCTCCCTTCCACAAGTCGAAGTCTGATCGCCCTTATTCGCCCATTCTCTCTTTCCCTTCCCCCCCTGACCATGTACCTGCCTCCATTACACCAGACTGCTGGAGTCAGTCTGAACGAATTTCCCAGTGGTAAGCTCGTGCCGCTAGGATTTCTGTGACGCTGCTATGATGTATGCATCATTGCGTCACCGTGCTACCATGTCTTGCTCAGTGGCGGACCTGGTGTGTTTTGAGTCCACTCAAAACACTGCTAGGATTGCGGTGGCGCTGCTATGCTGTGATGTATCATTGTGTCACCATGCTACCATTTCTCTCTCACTGGCGTCAGTGCGTGCGTGCATGCATGCGTGCGTCAGTGCGTGCGTGCGTCAGTGCGTGCGTGCGTGCGTTAGTGCGTGCGTGCGTGCGTCAGTGCGTGCGTTCGTGCGTCAGTGCGTGCGTGCGTACGTCAGTGCATGCGTCATTGCGTCAGTGCGTGCGTGCGTCAGTGCGTCACTGCGTGTGTGCGGACAGTGTTCACAGGCAGCAGAATACACATAGGCGGGGACTCACACCCTGCTGGTTCTTTAACCTCAATTCCCCTTCATTCCCATCCCTGCAGATAGCAACGACTCTGCAGCTCCCCTTGCTCCAGCTATCTGCAGCAGTGCAAACTCCACCACCAGCCGCAGCACCCGCAGTACCAGCGGCGCCAACAGCAACACTTGCGCTAACGGCAACTCCAACAGCACCATGAGCGACAACGGAAGGCCTTCTACTGAGTTCCTTACCCCCAGCAGCAACTTCAGAAGGCGTTCTACTGGGTTCTTTACCCCCAGCAGCACTTTTCCTGGTTCTCCTGTCTCACGTGCTGAGCAGTCAGAGAGGCATGCTGAGCTCCTGGCGCAGCACTCAGGGCACCGGCGCCTCTCATTCAGCGAGCAGCCGGAAATGACAGATGTGGAGGAGGGCAGCGAGCAGGATGGGGCCGAAGGGGCAAGGGCAGGGGCAGGGGGGAAGGAAACGGAAAGGGGAGGAAGGCGGGGAGAGGAAGGGGGAGAGGGGCAGGAAGAAGAGTATGGCAAAGACGAAGGGGCAGGAGAGGGGGGACAGGGAGGGGGAGGGGGAGGAGGAGGGGGAGAGGAGGTTGGAGGGGAAGGGGGTGGGGGAGTTGCAGGGGGAGTGGGAGGGGGAGAGGGAGATATTCAATTGGAGCAGAAGAACGCTGAGATCAGGGCATTGATTGCGGAGCGAGACCAATTTCGAAAGGTAGGCTCAGGAGGGGGGGAAAGGGTGGCGGGCGGGCTAAGAGATCTATCACTAATCACGCGTGTGCGTGTTCTTCAACAGCAGTCACTGCCAGCACCCACCCAGCACCCACCCAGCACTCACCCAGCACCCACCCAGAACCCAACCCTCTGGGGAACTGGAACTTGTAAGTCAAAAGCAAGAACTCTTTAGTAGATTCTCAAGGCAACGCCCGCTGTAAGTGGTGTGGTTTGTCACGCTGTAAGTGGTGTGGTATGTCACGCTGTAAGTGGTGTGGTTTGTCACGCTGTAAGTGGTGTGGTTTGTCACGCTGTAAGTGGTGTGGTTTGTCACGCTGTAAGTGGTGTGGTATGCCACGCTGTAAGTGGTGTGGTGTGGTCACGCACCTGCTGCCCCTTGCCCCCAAATTGACCGGGGAACCAGCGGGCGAAGAGGGGCGGAGGCACCTTGAGGGGCCGGGGCCAGCTCTGCTGCCCTGTCTGCCATTGTGGCTGTTGTGGCTGCCCGCTGGCAGTCGAACAAACCTGTCGTGGGGGAGGGAGGGAGGGTGGGGAGGAGGGAAGAGGGGGGGATGAGGAAGGATAATGGAGTTGACTCGAATGTCACCTTGCTGATTTGTTGGGCATTGAGGCTGTTATGGCTGCCCGCTGGCACTCGAACAAACCTGTCGTGGGGGAGGGAGGGAGGGAGGGTGGGGAGGAGGGAAGAGGGGGGGATGAGGAAGGATAATGGAGTTGACTCGAATGTCACCTTGCTGATTTGTTGGGCATTGAGGCTGTTATGGCTGCCCGCTGGCACTCGAACAAACCTGTCGTGGGGGAGGGAGGGAGGGAGGGTGGGGAGGAGGGAAGAGGGGGGGATGAGGAAGGATAATGGAGTTGACTCGAATGTCACCTTGCTGATTTGTTGGGCATTGAGGCTGTTATGGCTGCCCGCTGGCACTCGAACAAACCTGTCGTGGGGGAGGGAGGGAGGGTGGGGAGGAGGGAAGAGGGGGGGATGAGGAAGGATAATGGAGTTGACTCGAATGTCACCTTGCTGATTTGTTGGGCATTGAGGCTGTTATGGCTGCCCGCTGGCACTCGAACAAACCTGTCGTGGGGGAGGGAGGGAGGGAGGGTGGGGAGGAGGGAAGAGGGGGGGATGAGGAAGGATAATGGAGTTGACTCGAATGTCACCTTGCTGATTTGTTGGGCATTGAGGCTGTTATGGCTGCCCGCTGGCACTCGAACAAACCTGTCGTGGGGGAGGGAGGGAGGGAGGGTGGGGAGGAGGGAAGAGGGGGGGATGAGGAAGGATAATGGAGTTGACTCGAATGTCACCTTGCTGATTTGTTGGGCATTGAGGCTGTTATGGCTGCCCGCTGGCACTCGAACAAACCTGTCGTGGGGGAGGGAGGGAGGGAGGGTGGGGAGGAGGGAAGAGGGGGGGATGAGGAAGGATTATGGAGTTGACTTGTTGGGCATTGGGGCTGTCATGGCTGCCCGCTGGCGGTTGAGAGAAGCTTGGTGTAAGGAAGGAGCGAGGGAATTGGGTCATGATGGAGTGAGTCAACAGCAGTCACTGCCATTCTCCCATCCCATTCTTCCCCTTCCCCTCCTCCCCCTTCCCCCCCCCCTCTCCTTCCCCCCCCCCCCCCCCTCTCTCTCTCTCTCTCAAGCGGTCCGTGTATTAGATCCAAGCAAATACAGACATGCAAAGGATAGAGATGCTACTCATACAAATCATCTTCTAACCCACACATCCCACTCACCCCCCTCCCCCTCTGCTCCGTCTAAGGGAGCTCCAGCACCGGCTCTAAGATGGCCAGGCAGTCCCCAAGGGACATGCCCTCGCCTGGCATCTCCGCAGGTGGGTTCTCCACCTGTGCCGCGTAGTTGCATTTCTCCATAAAGCTCACCGACTGAGCACGCTGCAGCGCCACGGACCACCTCTGGCGGAACTGGTGCAGCAGCTTCGTAGCCTGGTAGGATGAGGGGGCCGCGTTGAAGAGCCTGCGGGCGGCGGTCTCGGCTAACAGCTTGAAGAATTGGGGCACTTCCTCGCAAGGGCAGCCGTAGGTGTCAACGGCGAGTGGGAAGAATCCGACCCACGAAGCCGTTGAGCCTTCGTAGTCGGAGATCTTCTTCTCCGCCGCTTCACGGGCTGCCCACCCCCTGCCCTTGACTGCGTTGGGGTCACGGGTGCTGATGGGGTCCGTGATTGTCACGTCCCCAATCCAAACCGCCCCCGAGGACTTGTCCCTGATTGCTATGTCCGCCTTCTTCCTAGTGACGGGGCAGAATGCGGTTGTCTCTCCATGAGTCATGAAGTCCGCGTCGTTGGCCATCCGGAGGCACTCATCCCGCAGCTCATTATGGGTGTTGGTCCTCCCCTTCCCTGTGTCACAGCGCAGAAGGTGGTTGGGCAGCCGTCGGTCTGTGATTGCCGTGTTGTTGCGGCAGTCACAAGCCCCAGGTGCAGAGGAGGGAAGCCCCATTCGGAACTGCAGTGCGTGGGCGAAGTGATCTGGAGCCAGGCGCAGCGACTTGTTAAAGGGGACCGCGTTGAGCCAGTCCCCTGCCCCATACCCCGAGAGGGAGAGCATACGTTGCGTGTGCCCGCTAAGGGGGTTGAGCGGCATGTCGCGCGTGGTTTGGACCTGCTCGGCGTAGCGGCGTCCGTGGACCGCGATTGCCAGCCCGTGCTGCAGCTTGATGCCTTTGGGTTCGGCGCGGTCGCTCTGCAGCAGCTCCTTCCCGTCCTCCGGCAACATCTCCTCGCACCTCTCCAACCAGTCAAACAGCGGGGACGTGTTGAGGTAGGGTCCCGCCATCTGGATCCGTGTTTCTGCCAAGGCGCCGACCGCCGCCTCGTCAATGGAGGTGAGCAAATGCTGCGCCTGCGTGTAGCTCGCCAAGAACCCTACGCGACCCTCCTCCGACGGGTCCGTCAGACCCAAGCCTCCAAGTGAGATCGGGAGTGAGGCTTGGGCCCAGGTCCGTGCTATCTCAGCCTCCCCCCGTGGGTGTCGAATGCCGCAAGCCGTCAACAGTGTGTCAAACAATCCCTTGCCCCAGTCCGACCATTCCTCCACTGGCAAGGGAGAGAGCGGAGTGGTGCGCGCGACATAGGAGACTCGCCGCGAGATGCATCTGGTAAGCAGGAGAGACGCCAGCTGTGGCTCCATTCTCGCAATTAGGCGAAGTGGGGCTCCCATTGTGTTAAGGCTGTCGCGTAGGAACGCTGCATTAGATCCGAGCAAGGTACAGAGTTGCACAAGGTTATAAGAAGCAAGTGGGGCTCCCGTAGGCGAAGTGGGGCTCCCATTGTCTCTCTCTCTCTCTCTCTCTCTCTCTCTCTCTCTCTCTCTCTCTCTCTCTCTCTCTCTCTCTCTCTCTCTCTCTCTCTCTCTCTCAAGCGGTCCGTGTATTAGATCCGAGCAAGGTACAGACATGCACAAGGTTATAAGAAGCAATGTACCTCAGCCTCTAAAAACCCCCATATCCTACCTACTCTCGTTCACCCTCTAAGGCAGCTCCAATGCAGGCTCCAGGATGGCAAGGCAGTCCCCGAGGGACATGCCTTCGCCCGGCAGCACCACAGGTGGGTTCTCCACCTGAGCCGCATAGTTGCACTTCGTCATGAAGCTCACCGACTGCGCCCGCTGCAGCGCCACGGACCACCGCTGGCGGAACTGATGCAGCAGCTTTGTTGCCTGGTAAGATGAGGGGGCCGCGTTGAAGAGCCTGCGCGCGCCGGTGTCGGCCAGAAGTTTGAGGAATTGAGGGACCTCCGCGCAGGGGCAGCCATAGGTATCAACGGCGAGAGGGAAGAATCCGACCCACGAGGCCGTTGAGCCCTCGTAGTCGGAGATCTTCTTCTCTGCCGCCTCCCTGGCCGCCCACCCCCTGCCCTTGACCGCGTTGGGATCCCGTGTGCTAATGGGGTCCGTGATGGTCACGTCCCCTATCCACACTGCTCCTGAGGACTTGTCCCGGATCGCAATGTCGGCTTTCTTCAGAGTGACGGGGCAGAACGCGGTCGTCTCACTGTGAGTCATGAAGTCAGCGTCGGCGGCCATGTGTAGGCACGCATCGCGCAGTTCATTGTGCGTGTTGGTCCGCCCCTTCCCTGTGTCGCAGCGCAGCAGGTGGTTGGGCAGCCGCCTGTCAAGGATTGCCGTCTCCTTGCGGCAGTCACACGCGCCAGGTGCCGAGGAGGGTAACCCCATCCGGAACTGCAGCGCATGCGCAAAGTGAGCCGGGGCAAGCCGTAGTGTCGAGTTGAAGGGAACTGCATTGAGCCAGTCTCCTGCCCCATACCCTGAGAGTGAAAGCATGCGCTGAGTGTGCCCGCTTAGTGGGTTGAGTGGCATGATGCGTGTAGCCTGCACCTGCTCCGCGTAGCGCAGTCCATGGACCGCGATTGCCAGCCCGTGCTGCAGCTTGACGCCCTTCGGATCAACTCGGTCGCTCTGCAGCAGCTCCTTCCCATCGTCTGGCAGTGACTCCTCACACCTCTCCAACCAGTCAAAGAGCGGGGACGTGTTGATGAAGGGCCCCACCATCCGGATCCGCGTTTCCGCCAAGGCGCCGACAGCCGACTCATCAATGGAGGTGAGCAGGTGCTGTGCTTGCGTGTAGCTTGCGAGGAACCCAACACGTCCCTCCACCGAAGGGTCTGTGAGACCCAAACCGCCGAGCGAGATGGGGAGTGACGCTTGCGCCCAGGTACGTGAAATCTCGGCCTCCCCCCGTGGGTGGCGAATGCCGCAGGCAGTCAGCAACGTCTCAAACAGCCTTTTACCCCAGTCTGACCATTCCTCGACTGGCAGGGCTGAAAGCGGCGTGGTGCGGGCGACGTAAGCGATCCGTCGTGAGATGCACCGTGAGAGCAGGAGGGAAGCCAGCTGCGGCTCCATCCGCGCGATTAAGGGCAGCGGCCCGCCCATGGTGTCGAGGCTGGCACGTAGGAACGCGGCAGTTGCGTCGCTGCCACCGATGAAGCTGCCAAGCACCTTCACCCCATCTTCAGTGAAAGGTACGCCCACTGGTAGCGCTGCTCCCTGCCGGCCTGCCTGAGACCAGGCTGCGCACTTGGCTGGGTTGTGGCACAGCCCGATCTCCCCAAGGTTCCCTGTGAAGTCCTCAAACGCCGCCGCACACGTGGCTGCATCTCCAAGAAAGGTTACGTCGTCCGCATAGGCAAGACAGACCACGGAGGGGAAGCTGAGCGCTGTTTTCGTCAGCGCAGGGTGTATGGCGGCAGCGAATAGCAACGGGCCGAGGGGATCTCCCTGTCGCACCCCGGTCTCGCTCAGCAGAGGTGGGTGTGAGAAGCCAGCGTCCAGACAGAGAGCCGAGGGAAGGCCGTACAGCAGTTTAACTAATGGTAAGAGTGAAGCGAGAGTGGAGTCCCGAAGAGATGTGATGATGGCGTCGCGGTTAACGCTGTTAAATGCGTTCGCCAGATCAGCCTGCAGGACCAGAGGTCCTGTGTTCACCGTGAGGTAAGTGCGTGTGATGTGGATAATCTCTCTCTCTCTCTCTCTCTCCAGGTGTTTAGGAACCTAGGACTCGCGGTTCCGCCATCCGGGGCAGGAGATGGGGGTGAGGGAGGGGGAGGGGGAGGGGGAGGGGGAGGCGGAGGAGAAGAGGTTGCGAGAGGGAGAGGAGGAGGGAGCGGGGGAGGGGGAGAGGGGGTTGGAGGGGGAGAGGGACTGGGAGAAGATGAGGGGAAGGGCTTCGGTGGTATTGTCGGGTGCACGTACGAGCTCAAACCCTATAGGATTAGAATATGGGATGCAAATAATCAACGGCAAGAAGTGGGTCATTTCGAGTACCACGACAAGGCTGGCATGGCGTCAGAAGTTTCACGGCTGGTTTTCGGGGTGGGAGTCCCTGAACCCTGCAAGTTTCTTTCTCCTGCACAGGTCGCCGTGGTGTCTCAGATTAGGAAGAAGCCCGAAGGCATGAAGTGGTGGGAGGTGGTGGCCATCGTGTCAAACGGCTCTGAAGAAGAGATTAAGCGGCTGATTGAAGAAAGCAGGAAAGTGCCGAGGAGAGGGGGGAGGAAGAGAGCAAGAGGGGCAGGTGAGGAAGGCAGGTCTGGGGGGGAGGAGCAGGCGGGCAAGGCGAGCAGGGGGGCGAGCAGGGGGGCAGCAGGGGGACAGCAGGGGGGCGAGCAGGGGGGCGAGCAGGGATTCGAGGAGAGGTGCAGCAGGAAGGCTAGCAGGGGGGCAGCAGGGGGGCGAGCAGGGGGGCGAGTAGGGGGGCGAGCAGGGAGAGCAGGGGGGACAGCAGGGAGGCGAGCAGGGAGCCGAGCTGGGGGGCGAGCAGAGGGGCAGCAGGAAGGCGAGCAGGGGGGCGAGCAGGGGGGCGAGCAGGGAGGCGAGCAGCAGGGGGACGAGCAGGGGGAAGAGCAGGGAGGCAAGCTGGGGGGCGAGCAGAGGGGCAGCAGGCGGGCTAGCAAGGGCGCAGCAGGGGGGCGAGCAGGGGGGCGAGCAGGGGGGCAGCAGGGGGGGCTAGCAGGGGGGCGAGCAGGGGGGCAGCAGGGGGGGCTAGCAGGGGGGCGATCAGGGGGGCGAGGCGAGTAGGGGGGCAGCAGGGGGCGGCGGGGTTGCAGAAGAGCATGGGCAGTGAGCCGGGGATGTATGGGTATGGCAACCGTGCTACGGTGCGTGTTGGCTGCGTCACACCCCCTGTGCCATGGCCGCCAGCGCCGCCGCTGCCACGCAGGTCAGGGGAGGGGAGGACGGCTTGTGCATGAGGGGGGAAGTCGCGCATGAGGGGGGAAGTCGCGCATGAGGGGGGAAGTCGCGCATGAGGGGGGAAGTCGCGCATGAGGGGGGAAGTCGCGCATGAGGGGGGAAGTCGCGCATGAGGGGGGAAGTCGCGCATGAGGGGGGAAGTCGCGCATGAGGGGGGAAGTCGCGCATGAGGGGGGAAGTCGCGCATGAGGGGGGAAGTCGCGCATGAGGGGGGAAGTCGCGCATGAGGGGGGAAGTCGCGCATGAGGGGGGAAGTCGCGCATGAGGGGGGAAGTCGCGCATGAGGGGGGAAGTCGCGCATGAGGGGGGAAGTCGCGCATGAGGGGGGAAGTCGCGCATGAGGGGGGAAGTCGCGCATGAGGGGGGAAGTCGCGCATGAGGGGGGAAGTCGCGCATGAGGGGGAAGTCGCGCATGAGGGGGGAAGTCGCGCATGAGGGGGGAAGTCGCGCATGAGGGGGGAAGTCGCGCATGAGGGGGGAAGTCGCGCATGAGGGGGGAAGTCGCGCATGAGGGGGGAAGTCGCGCATGAGGGGGGAAGTCGCGCATGAAAGTGTCATTTGTGGTTGACTGATGTGGTGGGTAGGTTCATCCGGAAACCAATGGGTTCTACAAAAAACTGATTGCATCTGATGTGTGATGTTGACTTGTACGACTTGTACTTTTGCCTAGTTGCTCGTGTGTCTGGAAAGCCTTTTGTGAATTTCCATACCTCACCTTGAGGTTGCTGCAGTCAGTAGCTGTGGCAGATTTAGAGTGCTCATGCACTACATTCCCTCCTGGTCAAACTATGATAGACAATGTTCAATATAGAATCTCAACAATAGCATGGCGTTGCAGGAACAGTCTTTCTGTAACCTCGTTTAGCAGACCAGTAACATGCCTGGGTGCCCTCATAGTCACATCACGTCTATCACCTAGACAAAACCCTATTCCCATACATGCAGAATCTATCACTCCTACTAGTGCCTTGAAGATTTACCAAGGAACATTTCTGCTCTGCCTTCCCCCAAACTCTCATCTAACTGGAACAGTCCCACCCAGAGCAGCCCCTTATGTGCCAACTACGGCCACAGAGCACCAGTGGTGCTGCTGTCACTAGCTTATCCCCACCCCTGACATGAGAGTAGACTCGAAATCACTCGTGCTAGCTCCTTTCTTTGTGGCTCATGCCGGAGAATATTCAGCGACGGACCAGATGTATCCTTGAGGGAATCCCCCACAGTATCAGCCTCCCCCACCCCCTCACTTAGCCTTGCCCCAGATGAGCCCGCCATGCGCCACGAAGAACGGCGCCAGCACCAGCGACTCCACAGCCATCAGCTTGATAAGAATATTTAACGACGGCCCAGATGTATCCTTGAGCGGATCCCCCACCGTATCCCCGATCACCGCTGCCTTGTGTGCCTCTGACCCCTTGGGCCCCAGCGACTGCGCGTGCTCCGACATCCCCGCTTCGATGTACTTCTTCGCGTTGTCCCACGCGCCGCCCGTGTTGCTCGCCGACACCGCCATCTGCACCCCAGACACCAGGGCCCCTGCCAGGAGCCCTGCTAGGGTTGCCGTCCCGAAGAGAACCCCTGTGATGATCGGCGCGAGGAGCACGAGCGCGCCAGGTGGCAGCATCTCATTGAGCGAGGCCTTGGTGGAGATCTGCACGCACTTGTGGTAGTCGGGGCGGGCGGTGCCCTCCATGAGGCCCGGGATGGTGTCAAACTGCCGCCGCACCTCGTCCACCATCGCTAGCGCTGCCTTGCCCACGCTCTTCATGGTCATGGCACTGAACCAGTATGGCAGCATGGCACCCACTAGCAGGCCAACAAATGTCTGGGGAAAATGAGAGGTGGGCAGGTGGGGAGGGGAGAGGGGAAGGGGGGAATGATGGGGGGAATGGACCCGGTGGTGAGAGCATTGATGTTGTGGGCCTGACCACATAGGTGCTAATGCATAGGCTCTTGCGAGAGGGAACTAGACTGCACGGGTGCGTGGTTGCGTGGACTCTATCGCAATGCTGACCTGCGTGATGGTGACAAGGAGTTTTAGAACATGGTTGAGCCCTGAAACTGCTAGTATGAGAAGAGGTACAGAGGTGGGTGGAGGGATGTGTGGCCCTAACGCACCTGAGGGTTGGTGATGAGGATGTTGGTGACCTGCGCGCAGCTCACATAGTCTTGACGGGAACCTAAGCAGTGAATGAAGGGTGTGTAGCCCTTTGCACCTGAGGGCTGGTGTCCTGTGCACGGCTCACATAGTCATTATGGGAAGCAATGTGTGCCCCTCACGCACCTGCGGGTTGGTGATGAGGATGTTGGTGACCTGTGCGCGGCTCACATACGCTCCAAACAGAGCCAGTGACACCAGCGCTGCTGACCCAATGGCAAAGCCCTGCAGGAAATTGGAGAAGGGGAGGCAGGAGAAGACAGAGATTTGGCGTTGAAAGATAGGTGTGGGGGAGTTTGGAAGGGAGCAGAGAGAGAGGGTGGTGGTACCAAGATGGAAAAGTGCTGTGAAAGGGGAGTGGGGCAGAGGGATGGGGATATGTAGTAAGACCGGGAGGGGGTAACGAGATGAGGGCATGGAACTACACCTCTCATACACGCTCCTTGCCACTGGCAGCAGTGGTATTCCCAGCAGAATCCAGCGCATCCGTCCTCTCCCTCACATCCGCCCCAAGCCCCTTCGTAGCGAGGGGGATAAGGCACTAAGAATAATTCCCACACACAGACCTTGCCGATAGCAGCAGTGGTGTTCCCAGCAGAGTCCAGTGCATCTGTCCGCTCCCTCACGTCCGCCCCCAGCCCCGCCATCTCCGCAATCCCCCCGGCGTTGTCCGAGATCGGCCCATACGCGTCGATAGCGAGCCCAGTAGCGAGCGTGGAGAGCATGCCAAGGGCGGCCAGCGCGACCCCGTACATGGCGGCGATGGCGTAGCTGATGTAGATGGCGACGGCGATGGCGAAGACGGGAATGATGACGGACTTGTAGCCCAGGGCTAGCCCGAAGATGATGTTGGTTGCTGCTCCCGTGCGGCACGAGTCTGCCACATCTCTTACAGGGCTGTTTGAGGCAGTGGGGATGGGAGGGGCGGGGGCGAGAGGGAGGGGGAATGGAAGATGGGGGAGGTAAAAGTGGGGCGGTGGGGACGGATGAGGAGTGGGGGTGGGGGAAGGGGGGGAGAGAGTGGGGAGGGAAGGTGGAGAAGGTAACCCTCGTATCTCGAACTGAAACCCTCAACACTCGCGAGTAGGCATGGCTGGTGAAGTACTCGGTGACATAGCCGATCAGCAGCCCGCCCCACAGCTCACGTGTAGAGCATGAGTGGTGACAGGTACTCAAGACTCAAACACTCACGAGTAAGAATGGCTGGTGAAGTACTCATGAAATAACTAATGAGCAGCCCGCCCCACAACTCACGTGTAAAGCATGGGTGGGGCCAGTGAGTGAGGCGATGATCAGTTGGCAGTGATGACAAGTTCTCAGGACTAAATACTCACGAGTAGGCATGGCTGGTGAAGTACTCAGTGACATAGCCGATCAGCAGCCCGCCCCACAGCCCCGAGGCCACGCAGAAGAAGATACGAGGGTTACCTTCTCCCCCGCCGCCACACTTGTAACCTCTACCACTCAGACCATACCCTTTGCGCTCATACCCTCAACACTCACGAGTAGGCGTGGCTGGTGAAATACTCGGTGACATATCCAATGAGCAGCCCGCCCCACAGGCCCGAGGCCACACAGAAGAAGATCTGCCAGTTCTGCGCCGTCTTGTCCGCCTCCTCCCCCGCCACCACAATGGTGAACGACGACGGCAGCGCGAGATAGCACAGCCCCAGCACGAGCGGCGTCATGAGCACGGTGCTGATCAGCAGCTGCGCCTTGAGCTGCGGCTCCACGTGGCGGGCCTCAGTGACATGGAACCAGTCGGTGGCAAAGAGCGTGGTGAAGAGGCACACGAGGATGCCCAGCGCGGACACGAGGAGAGGGAAGCACATGGCCGTGAAGTTGTGCGTCTGGCCCAGGGAGGAGATGGACGCGATCACGAGCGCCGCGCACGTGGACTCGGCAAAGGATCCAAAGAGGTCTGAGCCCATGCCGGCGATGTCCCCCACATTGTCACCCACGTTGTCTGCGATGACCTGCTTGAGAAGCACGGGAAGGGGAAGCAAGAGGCGGTGAAGTTGTGGGTCTGCCTGAGGGAGCGATGACGAGCGCCGCGCAGGTGGACTCGGCAAAGGAGCCGAAGAGGTCCGAGCCCATGCCTGCGATGTCACCGACGTTGTCTGCAATAACCTGGTGTTGGAAACAGGAGGGGAGAGGAGAGGTGGGAGGGGGGAGGGGGAGAGTGGGAAGAGAATAATGAGTGAAGCGTGCAAGGGGTGGAGCCAAAGAGGTCCGACCCCGTGCCTGCTATGTCCCCAACGTTGTCACCCACGTTGTGCGCTATAACCTGCACAGGAAACACGTGTGGGAAAGCATGGAAGGGGGGGATGGAGGGGGGACGTTGGATGCCCAAACTTCTTTATGCCTCATGCCAGTTCGCAGCTTGTTTCACGAAGGCCATTCTTTCCCACCTCCCACAAGACATGTCTTCTAGAGCCTCAAAACACCCACCCACCAGGGGTACACCTCATCCACTCACCGCTGGGTTCCTTGGGTCATCTTCCGGAATGTTCCGCTCCACTTTCCCCACCAGGTCCGCGCCCACGTCCGCCGCCTTGGTGTAGATCCCTCCGGTTCCCCCCCGCCCCAAGCGCCCTAACAGAGCGACACTGGTTTTGACAAGTCTCTTTGACTCACCGCTGGGTTCCTCGGGTCGTCTTCTGGGATGTTCCGCTCCACCTTCCCCACCAGATCCGCGCCCACGTCCGCCGCTTTCGTGTAGATCCCCCCGCCCACGCGCCCGAAGAGCGCGACGCTGGAGCCGCCGAGCCCGTACCCCGTGATGGTCTCAAAGAGCGACGCCCAGTCGTTGCCGTAGTAGAGACGGAAGAGCACGATGGTGATGAACAGCACGATGAGCCCGTTGGCTGCCAGCAGGAAGCCCATCACTGCGCCTGAGCGGAATGCTACGACAAAGGCTGGGCCGATTCCGCGCCGCGCTTCCACTGTGGTGCGCGCATTGGCGTCTGAGGGGGTGGGGGAACAGCGGACGTTGAAAGGGGGGAAAGGGGGAAAACGGGGGAGCGGTGAAGTCGTTGCCGTAGTAGAGGCGGAAGAGCACGATGGTGATGAACAGCATGATGAGTCCGTTGGCGGCGAGCAGGAAGCCCATCACTGCGCCTGAACGGAAGGCTACGACGAACGCTGGACCGATTCCGCGCCGGGCTTCCACTGTGGTGCGCGCGTTGGCGTCTGGTGGTGTGGGGGGAACGGCGGGTGTTGGGGAAGGAGGAAAGAGGGAGGGAGTGGTGAAGTCGTTGCCGTAGTAGAGGCGGAAGAGAACGATGGTGATGAAGAGCACGATCAGCCCGTTGGCTGCCAGCAGGAAGCCCATTACTGCGCCCGAGCGGAATGCCACCACGAAAGCTGGGCCGATTCCGCGCCGCGCCTCCACTGTGGTGCGCGCATTGGCGTCTGGAGGGAGGAGGACGACGGGCGTTTGGGGTAGCGGAAAACGAGTGAGCGGTGAAGTGGGAGCTCAAGTGAAAAGATGGGAAGCGGTGGACAGGGAAGGCAAAGGGGGAAGAGAGGTCAGAGCATGCATAATCTTCGTCCAGACTGCCCGAGATGGCCAATGCAAGGGCGTCGAGAATAAGCGCGACGGTGGTAACCAAGTCGTTGGAGAGCAACGGCGAAAATGAGGTGGAGCCAGAGTGAGCGGGAGATTGAAAATCAAAGGGAACGAGGTAAAGTGACGTACAGGTGGCGATCTTCATTCCCAGGTATCCGGAGAGCGTCGAGGTGAGCGCGCCGAGAATGAATGCGACGGTGGTGAAGAATGCGTTGGCGAGCGAGGGCGCGCAGAGCTGCGAGGGGTTGTCCTTGCAGGGCTGCCACGCCGTGCTGAAGGAGTTGACGGAGCCGAGGAAGAGGAAGACGAGCACGCTGAAGAACGCCATGAATACCGCTAGGTACTTGTACTCGGTCGTTAGAAACGACGACGCGCCTGTGGAAATGAGGGAAGAAGGGGGAACAGCGAGGGGTATCCCAGTGAGGTGGGTGGGGAAGGCATTAGATTCTGAGACGCTGGAAGAGCGCTGCGACTGATGCCAGGTACTTCAAAGCTGGTGATACAAACATCGTCGGGCTGGGATAAGGGTGGAAGTGCGGGGAGGAGGGAGGGGGAGGAGACGGATGGCATGGGAGAATGTTGCGAATAAGGATATGTGGCATGGAGAGACCGGATGGATGAAACGGGGGGATGCAACGAGTGGATGAAACGCACGAAATGCCGCAAATTTGATATTGATGAGGGCGTGTCACCTCAGACGTTTCGAAGGGGCTTGTTCGAACAAGCACCGTACTAAACCAAACTGTTTTTTATTTGAAACGTACTGTACCACAGCCAACCCCCAGAAATTCGAAATTCGAACAGCTGGTTACCACCCGAGGTGACACGCCCTGAGCACCATGAGCAGAGTGGCTATAAGGAATAGCGGTGGTAGACGAGCGGCGTCTATGTACAGCGTATTTCGTTGATAGATGGGATTGGCAACCTTGTGTTCAGTGCGGCTTTGCAAAACGGCCAAAAGCCGACGTGTTCAGGCGCAGAATGACACGAAATGCTGGGACGAGTCATTTCTGATGCAAATCTCGGAACACGAAGCGGTTTATCGTGCAACACCCCGCTAGCTAAATTGGCAATGCCAAGGAAAAACAGACGCTGTGTAGCGTGACATGTATGGCCTGACACACGGGAGCAGTAAAGCGCGATCTTGCTGGCGAGGAGCTATGAGACATTCACACCTATTCGGCAAAAAAAAAAAACCTACGCATTGGCTGAACCGCCGAGCACCGTCGGAGCAAGTCAACCGTCATAGACATTTACACAGCTGCACGAAAAAAATAAAGCGTACCTATCCTATCCGGACGTACGCACCCGTTGAAATGGCATGTTGAATCTCCGCGATCTGCTGGTCCACGTTATCCGACTGTCCGTCTTCCAATCCGTACACACTTAACGGCGCTGTCAGCTTCACCCGGCTCACGACGCCCCATTGGTAGAGAGCAAACGCTATGCCTAGAGCCGCCGACAGTGGAATGAAAATGTCGACGAACGTCTCGCCTAATGTCGTCTCCATGTTCCACGTCTCTGCGATTACTCCAGTAATCGCCTCTGACATGAATAATGCTGAGCGTGTCGCATATAAGTAAGCCCTACAACTTTCTATGTGACAGATGACCACAATAAACAGGCTTCTATGCCTTCTCTTGGATTAGCCAGTCTATGGAACAAGTGTGCTTGGGGGAGCAATAATTGCTAGTCTGGCAGCTCATTGTTAGTCTGCCCTTGTTTGGTCAATCAAAGAATGGCGCAAAAAGCGGATTCTGAACTCACCAGGCCACTCACCAGAACCGCACGATACCGCACTGTCCCGCACTAGGAGATCTAGAAAGCACACTGAAACCTTTTGGATGAAGTAATATCGAAAATCCATCAGAACGGAGATTTGACGGGGCACGGCACCTCAATCCCACCCACCATCGGATCAAGTTTATTGGACGGCTGGATGTGCCTCATCTTAGCTTTATAGATCTACTGTCCGAAGCAGGAACCTGGAGCTGAGGCTGCCGTGCCGTCAAATCTGTGACCACCTGAACTGACCTCACCTGAGCCCCACATCAGGAGGAGTCCGCTGGATTGACGGAGGGCAAACCCAGGCATTCAGCAGCTCACGGTTGACCAAGCAGTGCATTGGTGTATTGGCGCTAAATCTAAAAATCTCTGATATACACGTAATAGCTTCTACTCCTCTTTATTGTGCAAACATCCTTCCCTGCGTACAAACATATTGTATTAATATATTATTAGCCACATCTCCTCGTGTACATAATTCCTGATCACATGATAAAAGAGCGCATAATAATCATAGATATAATGTTGAATAGCAGTTAGCATTGTGTGTGGAGGAAATACTTTACCAGCTATACCCCATGGCGCTGTTCTTTTGGCCAAAAATGGCCTTCGCGGATTCTTCCATCCTGTTACGAGTGCAATTGAGTGATCGAACGAGAATTGCACTATCGAAGCAAGAGTACAATGAGCGAAGGCATGGGCGAATAATATATAGCGAAACTACAGTGGTAACGGTAATCGACTGTGGTTGTCGCGCGACGGGCCTGGAACTGAGGTTGGGGAAAGTGTCGAAGCGGAGGCCCGGAGCGCGGGTTACCTGCCGAGCCGTGAGGTCGGGGTGCGACGTGCGAAAGTGGCGGGCGGATTGTCGATGCGAGGATTGCGAGTGGTAACGGTGCTGACTGTGGTGCTACAGTGATGTACGCGTTGAGCAGGGATGCGAAGTAAGGAAAAAGAGATTTTCCTTACACTACCCCCCCCCTAAGGAGGTCCTCCTTACGAAAGTGCGTGTACATCCCTGAAGTTTCGGCTGCGCAGATACTCCGTGAGGACGGGGTGGTTTTCGATTCTGTCCAGGGGAACCCAATTATCTTCGGTGGGTGTGCGGTCTTTCCAGCGAATCAGGAATTCGATCCTTCGGGCTCCTCGAGGGTCACGAACTCGGTGGCTAAGGATTTTTTCGGGGGTGATGATTGGTTCGGTTGGCGGTCGTGTCATGCTGGCTGGGCGATTGCGTGGCAGTTGGCTCGTGGACGGGACGTAAGGGCGGAGCAGGCTGACGTGGAACGAGGGGCTGACGTACCAGTCAGCAGGGAGGAGGAGGTGGGCGGTGACGGGTGTGAGCATGTGGCTTATGCGAAATGGCCCACAGTATCGGGGGCGGAGTTTTGGGGTGATGGGCAGTCGGAGATTCTGGGTGTCGAGCAAAACTAAGTCGTCGGGCTGGTAAGTGACAGGTCTGCGGTGGCGGTCGGCGTTACGTTTAGCGATGATGTTAGCTTTTTTAATTGCGTCTGCTGCCCTGGCCCGTGCTGCTTGCAAAATTTCGGCGAACTGTTGCGCACGTGGAACCGGGTTGTCGGGGTTCGGGGTCATGGGTACTGTTGGGTCGTGGCGGATGGGGCGTTGTTATATGCGAATTCGATGAGCGGCAGTTGCTGTTCCCACGTGTTTGGGTCGTCGCACGTGGCCCGGATGAGCTGTTCCATGGTCTGGTTTGTCCGTTCTGCCTGTCCGTCTGTTTCGGGGTGGTACGATGAACTAAACTGTAGTCGCGTGCCGAACTGCTGCCACACGTTCCGCCAGAAGTTGCTGGTGAATTTTGTGTCTCTGTCGCTGATGATTGATGCTGGTATCCCGTGTAGTCGAACGACGGTGGAGATGAAGAGGCGGGCTGTTTCTTCGGCTGTGATTGATTTTTTGCAGGCTGCGAAATGTGCCATTTTCGTCAGTCGATCGACGACGACCAGGATCGCGTCATTCCCACTCGTCCCGGCCGGTAACCCCGTGACGAAGTCCATCGTCACCTGCTGCCAAGCACGCTCTGGGGGTGGGATCGGCTGCAACTGTCCCGCCGGCCGCTTCCGTGATGACTTCATGACCTGGCAAGTGGGACACGATGCCACGTGTCGCTGCACGTCGGTCAACATTTCGGGCCAGTAATAATACCGCTGCAGCTGCTGCCGTGTTTTTTCTACCCCGAAATGTCCCGAGGTAACCCCGTCGTGTGCCTCCTGTAATAGTAATTCCCGTAGTAGTGTGTACCCTGGTACCCAGATGCGGTCGGTCCCGGCTTTTACGTAATAGACTCCCTTGGCTGCTGCGAACTGCTGCGAATTTCCTCCTGTGAAGAATGGGTCTGTTTGATATCCGTGGGTAAATAGTCCTGTCAGTAGCGGGCTGGTCTGGGCGAGTAGTATCGCGTGGATTTGGGCAGTGGGGCGGGTCAGTGCGTCGGCGATGTTCGAGGCTCCTTTTTTATAGGTGACTGTGTAGTGGAAGTTTGACTCGAGGAAATCGAGCCAACGAATCTGTCGTGGGTTGAGGTGGGGCTGTGCGCGGAGGTACTGTAGTGATCGGTGGTCTGTCCGTACTGTCACGTCTGCGCCGGTCAGGTAGCAGCGCCACACTTTGAACGCATGCACGATCGCGAGCATTTCGCGGTCGTGTATCGGGTAATTTCGCTCGGGCGGATGCAGTTTTCGTGACTCGTATGCGATGGGCTGTAGGCCGTTGCCGAAGTCCTGTAGCAGTACGGCTCCAATGGCGATGTCGCTTGCGTCTGTAACAACCTCGAAAGGGCGGTGTGGGTCGGCGGTGCGCAGGACGGGCGGTGAACAGAGAACAGTTTTCAGGGCAGAGAAGGCAGCATGCTCTTTCTCCCCCCATGTAAAAGCGACCTCCTTTCGCAGTAAATCAGTCAGCGGGGCAGTCAACTGTGCCATGTCGGGGACGAACCGATGCACATAATTAACGAACCCTAAAAAACTCTGCAGCTCCGTGATGTTGGTCGGGGGCCGCCACGCTTTTACCGTATCCAGCTTCTTTGGGTCGATTTCAACGCCAGCCTCCGAAATAACGTGCCCCAAAAATTCTAACCTATCCTGGAAGAACTCGCACTTGGAACCTTTGGTCAGTAGGCGATGCTCGTCTAAAACTTGAAAAACTGCTTCCAGATCCGCTAAGTGCTGCTGCTTGTCCTGACTGTAAACGAGGATGTCATCGAGGTAAACTATGACGCATTTATCTAAGAGCGGCCTAAATGCCTCGTTCATGGTCATCTGAAAAGTCGCCGGTGCGTTGGTCAGCCCGAAGGGCATCACTGTGTACTCGAACGACCCGTATCTAGTCCTAAATGCTGTCTTGGCGCAGTCCGATGGTTCGACTCGAATTTGATGGTAACCCCCCCGTAAGTCTATTTTCGAAAACACCCGTGCTGTTCGCAATTGGTCGATCAGTTCGTCAGCGCGGGGAATGGGGTATCGCGATTTGATGGTTACCCTGTTCAGTGCTCTGTAGTCGATACACATGCAAAAACCCCCCGTCTTTCTTCGGCGTGAACAGTATCGGTGCGGCGAATGGTGACGAGCTTGGTCGGATGAATTTTTTCTCTAACAGGTAATCTAACTGCTTCCTTAGCTCGTCGAGCTCGGGCTGTGTCAGTCTGAACTGGCGCTGTACGGTTGGCTGTGCCCCTGGTTCTAATTCGATTCGGTGATCATGTGCTCGCTGAGGTGGCAACCCTTCAGGTAAGTCGTCGGGGAAAATCCCGGGGTACCGTTTCAACAGTTCCTGTAATTCGGGCGGTACAGCTTCC